TCCCTCCCAAACAGAGGTTTCCTGAATAAACAGAAGCCTTAAATAGTTTTAAAAGTGTTATACTGACATGAAAAATTCCCTGCATAATACCCTTTAACCACCTTACATGTTCCCTGTCACATTAAGTCCAAGTAAGATGCAACTGACTCACCTGTGCTTAAAAGGCACGTTTGAAGAATGAGAAAAACAAGGCTGGCATTTTATATTAGCCCAAGCTCAGTCAGAGGAAGTTAAAGGGCAGCTAATAAAATAGTCTTCCTAATTGTTCTGTGAGAACACAGAGGCAGAGAGAGAAATTTACCATATGCTAATGTGACTTATAACCTTTTTTTTTTTTTTAAAGGGGGGGTGGGCCTTTCAAGACGCACCAAAAGGCCATTAATACAATATAAAAAGAGAAAATCCCTTTTAGCTCTTTAGTTCAACTTGCTTCTATTCTTTCTATTCTCCCGTTCTCCTCCCCCCCACACACACACTTATTCTGAAATTAATCTGCAGAAGATTTGCTATTAACAAAGACTATTCACAGAGTGTGGCACAGTGGGCGAGAGCCTTGGCTTGAAAGATGAGGAAAGGGCCAGAGGAACAGAAGGATCAGGCAGTGCGCTAGGAAGAGCACAAAAGACAGGAGGAAATGAGCGAGGGAGTGAAAGGCACCGGAAAAGAAAGAAGCAGTTAAAGAGCAGACGCCACACATCGCTGACCGGCTCTTTCTTGACGTGTGACTCAGTGCTGCGACCACGCACGAGGACAGCGGGCACTGAGTCACCTGTAGCAACCTTCTCTGCTCACTCCTCACACCTTTGTTCCGACACTCAAGGATAAATCGCGACTCCGTCCATTCGGCACACATTTGCACAGCTCCTCTCTCCTCCTAATCCTCCGCTTTCTAACAATTCTGCAGGTCACCTGCTGCGTCTTCTTTCTGGATCATCATCATGATGATCATCATAAACATTAGTTAAACTAGTAAACTAGTTAAACTTAGTGGTGCTACTTTCAGTCTTCATGCCTTACATCTAAATCTTCTTTATTTCAACTTCCACAGGAAGCATTTACTCAGCTGGTTTTTGTTTTTGTTTTTTAAACTCTCCCTGCACGTATCCCTCCCCTCTGTATGCAGTGCTGAGGCATCTGTCATTTTCATTCTTGCTCCTATCATTCCTTTCTTTCCGTCTTTGTTCTCCTCCTCGTCCTTCTCCTTCAGATTTCATATTTTCTCTCAACCCCTGCCACCCCTCATCCCTCCTTGTCTAACATCTCCTGATTGTGCGAAATATTTATTCATCTTGTAACCCGCTTTTAAAATCACACCCTCCTTCTGCAATTCATCCTCCCAATGCGACAAAGAAGCGTTACAAATAGTCCCTCCTTCCTTCTCGTTGACCCATTGTTGCGCTTCCCTTCCACTTCCTTGTGGATCCTTCACGAAATGTTCAATCGCTTGTAAAGGGCTCCTTTTTCGTTCCCTTCTCCTCAGTTCTATTCCGCAGGAAATGCGTGTCATCTTCTCTTTCACTTCCATTCATTCCCGGCTCCTCTTCATTCTTCATCCTAACCCTTCACAAAATGTTCCGTCACTTCTTTTTCATCCTCACATCCTTCTTGCTCCCAATTACTTAGTAAATGCTTAATCAGCTGTCAGCTCCCATTTTGAATCGTCTCATATGTTCAGTCTTCCTCATCCATTTATTTTCCCTTTTCAGGAAATATTGCATAACTGTCACAGCTTTAAACTTTTCCTTGCATAATTAATATGGCTCCCTGCCAAATGTACATTGGTTCTGACCATGGGTGCCAGAGAACTTTGCTGCCAGCTATGTAATCCATCAAAACTCGAAAGTTATTTAGATTTTTATCACTAAAGATAACAAAATATTCACTTTTATTATTATGTTTTTAACTTGTAAACACTCGTCCATCTACACTGTGTACATGTCATGTCTGATGTGATTAGCCTGTTCTGGGTCCTAATGCTCTTTCGCTTCCCAAAAGCAAAAAAGCACAGAGACACCACTGAGATTTAAAAATGATCTAAATCCTTTACACCTAAAAGAATTTGGTAATCACAGCTACAATGTGAGCACAGGTTTTGGTATTACAATGGCAGGAAGAAATAGGACCTTTCATTGGCTTAAATCCTGTTTTAATCAACCACCTAACCTACACGGTGAAATGTCACTTTTAAAGTTTACACCAAATCCCATTTTTTCCTCCACTGATTTATCGGAAAAAAAACAGTGAACATCCAAGGTATCGGTACATGTGCTCTATGCCATGTACCAGTTTTGCTAGTAAAACATAATCCATATTGATTATGAAAGATGGTCACAGATAGGACATTCCCTTAGACTGTGGCTCCTGGTTGAAAGTAAAATCGATTTGGTTTTAAATTTAAAACATTTTTAATAAAGCTTAAACGTACAGTGGTCCTTAGATTTCAAACACACTGCAGCTTAAGAAAACACCGACAATTAGAAAAAGCAACACGTTACTATTGCTATTAGCTGTTTACTGTTAGCTTGTCCGTCACATTGTTGTCTTCCCAAAAACACTGCCGTTGGGTTTTGTGAGTTTGTGGAATTTTTTCTGTTTCCATTGTATTTTCTTCAACTTTCTTTGTGTTTTGTGTTCTTTTGCAGCACTTGATTTGTCTTTTTCAAGTTGCAGTGCATTTGAACTCTCAGGACAGTTTTGTAAATGTGCTATTCAGCCCTGAAATATTTCACATGGCCATCTCCAGTAATTTGGGGCTCAGAAAAATAAAATACTGCAACTTAAATGAGCAATTTTAGTGAAAATTTAGCAAAGTATTGCTGATCCACATAAAAACTATATTTTAAATGCTGAACCGGTACTAAACCTGCATGTCTTTGAATACATACCTCTAGTTTCTTTTTATATAACCTTTTATTGAGATTCTCCAAGAGGTTGGAGATTCACAGAAACCACTCAATTATGGGAAATATGCTATATTATAATAAATAAATCTGCTGGCTGGAGGTGATTAATGGATGATTAATGGATAAGTTTAGGCGAACTGCTCATACAGTATGCACTAGATATACTCTTTGCTATGTCTGTATTACTGTGATACAAAATTCACATTCTTATAAATGACCAAAAAAAAAACTACCCATGCAAGGGTGCACAGGACAAAGAACTGTGGAAGATGAGTGATCATGCTCTCTGACTCCATAACAGCAAAAAAAAAAAAAAAAGAACAAAAAAATCAAATTTGAGTAAAGAATGTGAGCAAGTCTGCCCACACTTCGCATGCATGTGCATATAGGTTTTCATAGCACAGAAACAGTAATTACAAGCAGCCCTCAGCATCAGGAGGTCCAGTCCTGCTCAAGCGGTCATTCTGCTCAGCGCATCCCTCCAGCAGCTTTCTATTAGCAGTGGGAGTATGTTGGAGTGGAGATAAGACAGGTGCTACAGCGATGGGGGGGAGGGGTGTAATAGGAGGGGAAGGGGGAGGAAGAGTTGTATGAAACAGGCACCGGCTGATGTGTACAACAAGAGCCCCCCCCCCTCAACCTTCCCCACCCATGACTACACGGGCATCTCCGCACCACTCCTATCTCCAGCTCCAGGAAACTCTCAGGGTGCAATTTACCGCTTGCACTACGCTGATAATACCGTCTCCCGGGCAGGAAGGAGAGAGTGATGGGCTGGGATAGAAAAGGAGAGAAAGACAGAGTGAGATAGGGGGTGAGGGCAGGAAAGAAGAAAGAGAAATGAGGGAGGGAGAACATGGGAAAGAGGAGTAGATAGAAAAAGAACAGGGATGTGATAGGTGAGAAGGGGAGGATAAAAAGGAGGACGAGGAGGAGGCAGGGGGAGTATCATCATGGAAATTGCAAATTCAATCTCAAGAGCCAATTTGCGTCCGTATGAATACTCCGATTTAACCACAGACAAACTCATCAGACTGAGTCACATCTTGACACCACGTCAAACCTATCTCCTCCCACTCAGATTAATCCACTTTTACACAACTTTATCAACAAACTCGTGCAACACCTGACCTCTTCAGTGAACAGAGCTAGGATGACTGCTGACTAAAACTTTAAAGAACTGTACACAGGCAGCAACAGCTCCCTCAATGGGTCACTGGCAGATACTGCAGGGGGAAGCAACATCATATCCCTCACTCACATCATAACCATATTAACAAAAATGATGCACAAAGTTTCTGTAAACATAGAGCGGCAGTCGAAGGAGAGGCAAGGCGTGTTAGGTGTAACAAGAAAAACTAGAAGAGGCAATTAGTTAAGCTGGAGTACAGAGTTGTTATTGTTTAAGTATATACAGCAAATGGTCAGCAATGCCCAGAGGGTCATTTCAGGTTGCATTAGGTCATACATAACATATAAGGTTGGCTGTAGGAGTATAGTTTTTTATTTTATGCAAAAAATACTTTTTGATTTTTTATAACTTTGGATGTGATGGCAATTTTTAATTGGATTAAATCTAAATCTACCACTTTGCAAACCCCTCTTGTCTTGCTTTAGACTCCCAAAGCTTTGGTACTGACTGACTTTCAGAGACATCTGTATTAACCCTTGCAGAGAAATTACTTCCTACAGGGTCCTGCCTAGTGCAGTGTGACTGACTAAAGCAGGGGTCCCCAAACCCAGTCCGTGAGGGCCGGTGTCCCTGCAGGTTTTAGATCTCACCCTGGGTCAACACACCTGAATCACATGATTAGTTCATTACCAGGCCTCTGGAGAACTTCAAGACATGCTGAGAAGGTAATTTATCCATTTAAATCAGCTGTGATGGATAAAGGACACATCTGAAACCTGCAGGACACCGGCCCTCGTGGACTGGGATTGGGGACCCCTGGACTAAAGTGTTTTAAACATGAACTTACTTCACTCTTATTTAAACTATCAGTAGCAGCTCAACGCGACACATGAAAGAAACAAGAGATTTAAACTTTAATAGAAAACATGTCTGACGCATGCATGGGTGTGTGGGTGTGTATATACCAACTGTTTGGTCCTCTCAGCTTCCAGCCGTGTTTGTTGTCTTTCCCGGCTCGTGGCTTTGGCCATCTCTTCCTTCGCCGCCTCCATTTCTCGCTGTGCCATCTTGGCCCACTCTTCCTTCAGTAACTTCTGTTGTTGTTCATACCTTGAACCATACATATAATGAATATTGCTTACATTAATGGCAAACTGACACATTAAAGTATGTAAGATGGATTACAGATAATCCTCATGACACTTTGAAAGACCAAATCTTTTTTGTTTGTTTGTTTGTTTTTAAAAAGTCTTTATTTTTAATTCAATATCATCTGATATGAGTGACTGAGCCCATAAAGTCATCGGGAAAGTGTTTACAGAGGTCACAGCTCAGGACCTTTTTCCCATAGCCTTCTATTGAACCAGAAGCCTTTTCACATGGCCTGATGGTAGGTGTTACAAAGAATGGAGGTTTAACGCACACTAATCTTTTATACTGTTTTTCATGGCTTTCCACAGTACAGTCAGATGTTGTATGTATATATTTATGTATGTCCACTAGGGGGCAGTATAGAAACACTTTAAGCTCCCTCCATAGAATATTAGAAACATGCATTGTAGGGTAGCATCAAACTTATCAGGAGTTTAGTTCATTCATTAGACATGAATCAGAATGCTGACATGAAATAAGAATTACCTCCTTTTATCCATTTTCAAATGAACAAAATTACTATTAATGAAGGTCCTTATCAAACATGATTTATCCTGTGCAACACAGTTTAACCCGTGTCTCAAATGTCAAGTGATACCTGAGTTTAGCTTATAAATAGCAAAGGCCATGACAGCTAAAATAATTTGTGAAACTACTTTATATAGACACACTGGTAACCAATATTGAACTAGCAAACTTGCATCTTGCAAAAATCAAACCTCTTTGGATACAAAAACAGCTTCCATCAAAACAGAGACGTGTTGTACAATCGCACAACCCAGAATGGAAAAAAGAGCTTGATAATTTTTCCAGGTATTTATTTATGCATTTACTTAACTTGACTTAATATGAAACCATGCATGATGCCCTGCAGGTTAAATTAGTCAGGACTCTTTTAGAAGAAGCTCTCGATTTAAAGGCTCTCTGAAATGATAAGCATCAGATCATATTTCTGAAACCTTCACAGTGTTGCATATTATCCTGTTACAGCTCATTTTAGTTTTTTTGATTGAGCCTTCAAAAAAAAAAAATGTGGCACACCTTCCACATTTTTTGTTCTCTTTCCAACGCAAACAGCAACACAACCTTGCAGCAATTCTATTTGCAATGCATACAAATGGTCACCAGGCAGAAATCTTAACTAAAATCTGTATCCTGAATTTCCTTTAACTCACCTCCTCTGATCTTCCTTGCTGAAGGAGGCCGATTTGCTGGAGTGCGAACTGGGTTGTGCGCGCTGCTGTGGGCCTTGCTGAGATTGAGAGCCTGAGCTGGCACTGTGAGAGGAGGCTGAACAAAGACAACAAATGTTCAAAGGAAAAAAGATTATCACACAAGGTAAAAACAACTTTGGCACTTTTGTGGCTTACAGCTTTACTGTCAAAATAGGGACTAATGCACATGTATAATTAATACTATATAATCAAACAGTGTAATCTTTCTTAGGAAAAAAAATGTTTGGATGAACTAGAAGATTTTTCATGGCTCAAAATTTACTTTAGGTCAGACATTTAGTTGACAGTGAATCTGTGTTTTCTTCATAGAAGTGTAAAACCCTATACATTTTCTGGCAATGTTTGACAATTTGATAAGCAACAGTCGATTTCAGTAAATTAAATTCCACTAAAGAAAAAAAAAAAGTGATTTTTTTTTTCTTTAAACGAGGACACCACAACAAAATCATTTCCCGCTGTCAGTTTATCCTGACACAGGTGTCCAGTTAGAATAGAATAGAATTCAACTTTATTGTCATTGCACATGTCACAGGTACAGGGCAACGAAATGCAGTTTGCATCCATCCAGAAGTACTTTAGCCATGATATAGATATATTACAATATATATATTAGCAATAATATAGATATGTAAGTATAAAGTTAAAAAGTTAAAAAGCTTAGTTAAAAAGCTCAGGCAACACATTTTTTTTCTTAAAAAAATATTTTCTCGTTAAACACGTATCAGCTGATGTGATACTGCATTTACAGATGAGAATCGAGAACCAGTTCCAAATTGTCCACTTCCCTTGAATTGTATGTAGGGCTGCTCGATTATGGCAAAAATGATAATCACGATTATTTTCACTGAAATTGAGATCACGATTATTTGACGATATTTATTTAACCCTTTAAGACCTACTATAGAACCAAGTCCACCAGAGCTTATATTATTTTTTTTACATGCTGTAGTGCCATTTGTGGGAGCATTTCAAGTTGCTATACATCAATACAACTGTTATAGCCCATATTTTAATAATATGTATGCATTAAGTCCATAGTAATTACATAAATTGCAAAAAAGTGCAATAAACTACAAAAAAAATTGAAAATTGCTTTTGTTTTGTTTACATATATTTCTACTTGGAGAAATTTAAGAGGTTTATCCCTCAAAACTTTAAATACAATAAAGTTGCAAAAAATAGTTTCCCACCACAGGAAATTTATTTTGAGTGTCTTCATAGTTTTATTTTGGAGATACAGCAATTTTTATATACACTGCAGGAAAAACAAAAAACAATCCTATGATGCAAATTTGCAAAGAAAACAGCATGTGCATCATTTCACTGTGGGAAGTGTTACGAACAGCTGATAGGAACGGCAAAGCGTGTTTCTGGAATATTATGTTTTTGTTCCTGCAAGCGCTTTTTATGCAATTTTTGCAAAGCTATATGTGGAACGAAACAGTGACCGAGGACAAGCTGATGGCATAAGATGTAAGTACAACTCCTCCGGTTTCATATGCAAAACAAATTATTGCGCTAGCTTACACAGTTCAGGTTCTACAGGGATTTAAAAATAGTTACGCAAAACGGAGCGTGCTGCTCTGACCGGCTTTAAAGGGTTAACAATGACTTTAAAAAAATAATATAAAATAGTGTGCAACACCACTGAAGTTTTTTTTTTTTTAAACTCTCTTTTCAACCAACGGCAGTCACTCTCCAAATAACTTCTGCTTAGCTTTCCGAGCTTCCCTCGGGTCCTCTTAATCAGCGGTCTCCAACCTTTTTTGCGCCACGGACCGGTTTCTGCCCGACAATATTTTCACGGACCGGCCTTTAAGGTGTCGCGGATAAATGAGGGAGGGGCTAATAATCGGCTCAGTCATTTTTAATGATCGTTGAAAGCCCAGATCGTAATCGTGATTAAAATTCGATTAATTGAGCAGCCCTAATTGTATGTGTCAAAGTTTATCAAGTTCTCACACAATGTTGGCACACTGTACTTGCAACTGCACATAGCAGAACAATGACGCCTAATTCACAGCGGGTGAGGTTTTTTCACACCTCAGTTCCAGTCAGCGTGTTCACACAGAGATAATAAAACGGTTAATATTGGGACTCAGTGAAACCTACTCCCACAAAGAGAGAGAGAGAGAATAAACTGTCAGCAATCAAAAGGGGAATAATTAAAACAAACTGGCTTCTAAGCAAACTTGATAAGTGCAGAGGCACCAATAAAATCTAATCTCAAAAATGATCACTACCTGTGTTTGTTTGAGGACTTGAGGCAGGTGATGACGTGCGGTCTGGGGCAATGTTGGCAACTCCTCTCATTCTTTGCAGAACATCTTCTGACAGCTGGACAAACAGAGTCAACAAAGCATATAATATACACGACGCGTTTTATTTATTTCATAGAAAAAAAAACATTTGTGTAATCCTTCAGATAAAAAAACAACAACAACAAAAAAGCATGAGCCTCTTAAACATGCCATTAATAGAGGATCACTGAACCTCTATTGTATGTGTATCTGTATGTGTGTGTGTGTCTTTGTGTATCCAGGGAAGTCCTGAAGCACTACTACCCCAAAAACCACAGGAGGGAGCACTGACTCACTGTTTCTATGAGTCACACTGAATGTGCAACCAAGGCAGGCTCTCTTCTTACAGACATTTTCACAAAAGATTTTAAAAGCACTTTGGGTGCTCAGAGTAGAAAAGCACTACATAAAAACTGTTTTTACATTTACAAACCTGCTAACCCCATTGCATTCCACCACAACGTATTAATTTCCAGTCGTTGTTTTTGCAGGATCTGAGGGTGTCTTCATTTCCTCATAATGTCAGGATATTTGGAGGCACACACCCACACCAGCTGACTTTCTGTATGTGTGTGCATGCAAGAAGTTTAACTGTGGTAAATTTTAATTTACCACTTAATCATGCACACCAACAGGCTAAAGGTGAAACGAGTACACATCTGCATCATTATGACAATGCAAGAATCTCCACAAACGAGTTCAGAAAAGAAATAAACATGGAGGTGTATGATTATCTAACTGATTTTGTCAGCGCTTGACAGGTGACCGAAAGCTCAGCAAAACTAGACATGCCTATACCCTGTTGAAATCATTTCTATTTGTTGTTTTGTTCATTATCGTTTCCTGTTTTAGAAGACGACAATTTAGTTATATATGCAACTGCATTAGTGTTTCATTGGTTTCACTTGCATACACTAACTCGCTCTACTTGGTTGTGTTAAAAGTATAAGCTTTCTATATGTCCAACAGCACGTGAAAGCAACACTGTAAAGAGGCGTCAACTCCACACCAAACCTCGTTTGAAATCTGCTCATTTCAAGCCATCCACTTTTAGTTAAACATATGCTCAGTTAAACCAACATGTTAGGCAGTTATGACATTTATACGAGTCTCCCCGTTTTTCTTTGATACACACTTACTGTGCAGCAGACATGTTCACGTAGGATAACAGCGAACTTTAACGTTTCAATGCAAACTAAATGTGTTATTGTGTTAACGTTGTTAGCAAATGCCAGCGACTAGGTAACAGCTAAAAGGTTTAATTTCGGGCAATTAGTTTTCCTGCTAAGTAGGCAATGTATATGCCGAATTTACTTTAAGGTGCTAAAGTTTTCTATATTTCTTAGAGCATCTGCCACGTATATTCTTTTACTTGTAAACAAGGAACATTACTATTTTCACCTTATTACGAATGGAGTTTGGGGTAACAACATTTTTTTTTTTTACATATTTCAGCTCTTTCAACAACCTGTCCCACCCTCTTCCTACCTTTGTACCTCCTCATTTTAGCAGTGACACTCTACCGGTCGTAGACTGATAGCTTGAACAAAGCAACAACTTAATTTGACAATAGCCAGTCAGCGCTAAACGAGACATTAAAGTAATGCTAACATGGCTTCTCAAGTGCTAGCTAAATTAGCATTACCTTGACTCCACGGAGAATTCTGACCCTGTCCTCATCGTCAACACCGAAGGACACTTTTCTTGTTGTACTCTCTCCCGAACCCATGCTTCTGCTGCAAACGCACAGCTTTCGTGGTGAGAAAAATGTTTATAATATGAAATAATGTTGCTGTCCTGCCCAATGACAGAATGTGAGACAGAAGGGATAGGGTTGCCAGGTTCTTCGTGAACCATCCTCCTCTTGCACATGTGTAAAGGTCAGATCGTGTGTTGGAAATGATAACATTGCGTGTGAATACGAAATTGTTAATAAGGAATTATTACATGTGTGTTCTGGGGGAAGTCAGATTAAATGCAAATTGCTTAATCGCTTTAAAAAAAACAACAACAAGGATTTACAGGCACACCTGGCAACTCCAGGGTCATAGTTGAATGGCTGAAATATCAACAGCCAATCAAAGGCTATATACGGCATAGATTATTTCTATGCACCCGTAAAAATATTGAGACAAAGAAAGTTGGTCACAAGACACACAGAAACATTGCCAGATAAGTTTATTTATAGAATAAACACAAAACATGTCTCGGTTTATGCCTAAATGTCAGCGTCTGCGCACAGCAGTGTTTACTGTATGGGGAGGAAACACAACATTCAACACGTTCCAATAACATTTACAAAACACACAAAATGGAAACATGATCTTGTGACATAAATGTTTATGCCTCAAGATCTCACAAAAGTAGTAGGCGCCTGTATTGATAAATGTACTCTATTAAAACACCCAAAACATGAATAACACATTTTTGTAAACAATCTCATGTGATTGTAATGCTAAATTTATACAATGCACCAATGCAAGGCAGCAGACGTATTGCGGGTTTTTGTGTTAGCTGGAAGGCAGTTCACTTGGCTGACTACCCAAGCAATTTCTATGCAGGATGTATTCACATCCCACTGCTCAGTGTGATCCAGGAGTCTGGTGTGTTTGAAAGTATACTGAATACCGGGTAAACAGGCTCTTTAAACACAGCCTTTAAGGTGTGGAGATGTTCCCTGCGCCCTTTGGTGCTGTGGAACGTCAAAGTTCCCCCCTCGTAATCCAGTGCAACCTCAATCTTGACCGGTGGTGTGGTCACTTCCTTAAGGACCACATTTGAGGAGCACTGGCACACTGTCAGCTTGCCGTTTTTCCACTGCAGCCTCCAGGACACAGTGTTGTGCCCCAGACGGCTGTGGTCACCACGGCGAGGAATGCTCTTGTAGCACACGCCCAATGACCACATGCTATTGGGTCCCACTTCTACAACCCATACATGCTCGCCGCCAGAGAAACCCTGGCTGCACAGGATCTGAGGTGCACTCGTGAAACGCTCGGGGTGCTCCGGGTACGACTGCTTGTTGGAGCTGTATTTGACTGTGCGCAGATCGTTGGACACCAGCAGGTTGGGGTGGGCGGTGAAGATGCTGAAGGTGAGTTCCAGTGGGTTGAGGAGGATATGAAGAGAATCCATGAGGCGGGTCATTTCTGTGCAGAAGTCTTGGGTTTTGAGACCTCCCTGCAGGCACATATTATTGAGTGGAGCCTTTGAGGGGATGTTGGAGGAAATGGCACTGGTGACAACATGTCTCAGCTTTTGTTCAATCTGCATGAACCTGGAGAGCAAAGGATTTATTATTACTTACTCAACTCATCTAGCCATATGCCATGGGTAATAAACAATTAAATGTCGGTTTATCAGTAAGAATACTGCATCACTTTCACTTTTCTTGTCATTTTTACATTGTTCTATATATTTCTTCTTTTTAATTGTAATAGCAGGGCAGATTTCTGTACCTGTGTATAAAGATGCATGTGTCCGTCTCATTGAGGACCTCTGTGGCACTCTTTTGGGCCTCCATCAGCTGCTGCTGCTGCTCCTCAAGTGCACTCACGCCTAGCTGCCAGCTTTTGCGGCGCTGTCCTCTCTCCTCCTCCAAGAGCAAAAGCAGGCGATCCCTGTACCTGTATCACAGCACACAAGTGAAGTGGACTGGTCAGTTTTATTCCTTTTATTATCGTGATGTTACTAAACAGAGTCAGGTAGATCGATTCATCACTGTGTCTGCTTTAAAGTTGTACATGCATCCATTGCGTCCATACAATGAGAAATAATCACAAAGCTCAGAAAATATTCAACAATCTAAGTTATAATCTGTGCTAATTAGATAAGGTTAGCCAGCTAGCCAAATGGTTTTTTAAAAATCAAACAAAAAAGCGAAACAGATAGCGTCTGATTATGTATGTGAGTTGTTTTTGTTTTTGTTCTTTTAATAAATACCTGGTACTGAGAAAATGCCTGTGAGATGAAACTGGCTGAAATGCTGCTGGTAGGCTACCTAAATGATAAGAAATGTGCTAGGAGGCACACCCAGAAGTTCCTGAACTTCCAGAAAGTTCCAACCCTCAGCATGAACGTCCATATATTAATTTGGACAACCTATGACATAATAAACTCATCCAGGAGTCCCTCGGCCCTGGGAAAATTGCTGCTATGCATGCTCAATATTTTTTATTTAACTTAACGTACAACTAGCTCACACACAGCCTCACTAATGTGACTGAGCTCTACATTTCAGTCTTACTTCCTTCCAAAGATATACCTTCTTGAATGTTTTCTTGAAACTTACTAAAGTATTAGGGTGTTACAGACATCCTTGAATCTGCACCACAAAACAGACACTGGTAGGCCTAAAATGCAGATGAACTGCATTAATTACATACATGCTTACTACATTCTTTGAGGGGTCGGAGTTTTGGTCTGTATTTTTATTTGCTGCTGAAAATATGAAGCACATCCTGTCAGAGAGAAGCTCCTGAAGAAACTGTTCTACCACCTCTGAAATATGCATTCTGGGTTTTCCACACCTTTTTAAAGCCAACATCATTTGTCATCTTGCTGTTTGAAAACATACTGTGCACGAACACTGGCTGACTTTTAAAGCATTTGGGAAAAAAAGATAATTCCTGTTCTTTATTGAGAAATCATTCCATCTATTTTTACATTGTGATGGTTGTAGAGTTTAACGTTTAACCACAAAAATCAAATGAAAACCTGCAAACATTTTTATCAAGTGCTTTAAAGTCAAAGATTCGTGAGGATATTCTATCAGAACAGGGTGTGTTTGGTTTTATGAGAGATTGTTGAGCGTGCATTCATACCTCATATAGTTCAGACTGTAATTGGGGAAATGTGTTTTCAAAGCCTTTAAGTCCATCTTTGGTCACTGCATTTGCTTAATTACACCACCTGCTACTTTTTAAGGCAGTGTTACTAGCAGCAAATGTGCAGCAGGTTACCTGTCCACCAGAGCACCTATGCTGTCCATGACTGTCACAGCCTTGCTGACCATTTTTTCTCCTACAGCTTCAGAGGTTCCCTGATCCTCTGCTGTCTTCTGCAGGAGTCCCTCTGTCAGCTGCAGTCTGCTAGAAATGACCTGCAAACACACATGTAATATGTTTTAAGATCTTTTGAGTTTCACACGACAGGATTCTTTCTATTGTGTATAAGCATAAAAGATTTCGGATCTGGAAAAACTGGGTGCCCTTTTCTCGTAAGTGCTTTCGGAAAACAAGTAGAGAAAACAGATCTATATATACATATATATAGTACTGTAAATGTTTTCTGTAATGTTAAGTAATATATGATCATATTCCATCAAAGTTTGATCATTTTCTGGTCCAAAATATTAAATTCAACGGTCTGACTTTGCACTTTTGAATTGTATGTATAGCACGAAACTGTGCACTCCCTTAGATTCTGCCAAAGGTCATCAGGTTATTCCTATCAGACAGATTTGTTTTGCATTCCAGATCTTCACCACTCCTCAAAAATGGCAGTGAGTCACTGAGGTGCCAAGCCCTTAATTTATACGTGAAACAAGTTCGGTTCCCATGTCTATGTCCCATGTGCATAGAGCATAGTCTTTTAAACATTGTTCCAAAATTATATTACAGGATTTTCAGGTTTTGACATTTCTCAACAGTAAGTTCCCTCATGGGATTCACATATTTTTATAACATGAATTATGCATTTGTATAACTTGAATATTTTATTCATGAGTCTACAAGCCCTGTCTGAGCACTACTTTCACTTTTGTGCATGCTCAGCTGACCCAGATATGCCCACATTTGTAGGTTATCAATTTATTTATTAATACATATATAATAACCCCCTTCCTAATATATAATGCTACAATATAACAGTAGGTAAAATGTTAAAATGTTAATGCAGTCAAAAGTACCTTATTTCGGGCCTCCAGCGCTCGTCTCATCTCCTCTTCAGCTACGCTAAAGATGAGAACGTCGTGGCTCTCGTGATGACCCTCTACGACGCACGTGGTGCACAGAGACATCATGTCGTTGGAACAAAAGTACTCAAGGGGACGCTGGTGGATGGCACAGGCCTTCACTCTCAGCTCCGTCGTGGGCTCCACCACGGGGTGGGTCCTGAACAACTCCTTCTTGTGGTGTTTCTGAAGGTGTCTGGAGCAGAGAGACACCTCACACTTCAGGCAGGTCTTCACGGCGGGCGACTGCTCATCTATGCACTGATCGCAGAAAACCTCCATTTTGGTATCCACGCAGTCGGCTTGCATGTTCAGCAGCAGCGCGGTGGCCTTGTAGTTCTCAATGATGCTGCGAAGTTTGAAATTTATCTGCAGGTTATCCGTGCCAGGATACTCCTCACGACATTCTGGGCAGCGCGGCAGGATTTTGCCAGTCTTATCCGTGCTGTCAATAGTTTTGCGGATACAGAATAGACAGTAGTTGTGCCCACAGGGGAGAGCCACCGGGTCCGAGTAGAGCTGAAGGCAGATGGGACAGCTCAGCTCGTAGGCTAGCTGGTCCTCTGGCTTTGACAGCGACATGATCCGAGGTGGTGAGACGGGTAGCTGCTTTTGTTCGTGCTTAGTTTCTCTTCTTTTGTCAGGTCTTCTAAATACCTTTGACTAATCTTACTTAATTTCTCGTTTCTTATCACTTCTTCTCAACCGTCAAGCTGTCAGGTGAGTCTATACAGAACAGGCCAGAAGGGCAGTTAGTGCATACTTATCCGACCAGGAGGAGGTGTATCCACAAATGTTTGCAGGACAACATTCCGTTCTTAGACACCTTGTTTGCTGTGCTGCCAGGAACTGACACCATCATACTGGCTGCTGTTGACGGTTAAAATATTTCTGACAAATCATCAGAACCTGTTTTAGAAAAGAGGTATGAGGATGCTGAATGCTGCTGGAAACCATAAAGCATGAATTTTGGTTAAATAATACTTAATATGTGCAAAAGAAAATCCATTTTGGGGAATTGAATGCTTTCAGTTTCTTTAAAAAGTTCCACAACCAATAAAGAGTATCACCAAGCTGAAGGGAGAATTGTGGCTTTGTCTGGCAGTAGCTCAGTTTTGTTTCAGTTTTGTTGGGCTGGGAGGAGGAGTTGGCCGTCCCATTGGGGTCTGGAATGTGGGGCCTCCCTGCTGCTGCGGAGTCGGGGCGGTCTGCTTCTCTCCACCCCAGGGAAGAGGGTAACACCACCTGGGTCTGGGTGCAGTTTCCCCCTCTAGGGGCAAGGGTACCTAGATCTGGGGCTTAGGGTATGCTTGGGGAGTGTACAGTGTCTATTTATGTCTGTCTCCACGTTGGGTGAGTGCTGAGTAATTGCATATGAGAGCATGAAGGTGGGAATGGATGTTTGTATCTGTGTGTGCCTGTTTGTCTGTGTCTATATGTCAGGTCGGGTATCAGACGCCACCTCTGTAGGGACATCTCAGGCCCTCCAATGTATGGAGGCCTATGTCCCCCACCATTCCCCCTTCCATTGGCAGACGCCCTCAGACATCGGTGCATTGGTGGTTCTTTGTGTCCGGGGATGGGCGTCCAGGTACACACCGGCTCACTCCTGGTGGCTGCTTGTCGGGGCCTGGAGCCTGGGCTTGCTCGGGCCCCTTCGGGGGGTGGGGTGCCCTCGGCCTCTCGGCCTGGGGCTCGGTCACTCTGGCACAGCTGGCTGCCGGCGGAGCTCACGGGCACGTCACTGCAACCTCCCCCTGGCCTCTGCTCCGCGGCTGCTGAGTGACCTCTCATCTGGGACTCTCCTCAGCTCTTTCTGGGAGAGTGGCACGGTTGCCCCTCTGTTGGTCTTCCTTGGTCTCTTGTGTTCTGGGGGTCTCTGGATGTCTGGAGCCAGGATCTCCTCTATACCTGCTTCATGTGCTGGAGGACAGGGCTATGGCTCCCCACACCCTCTAGCAGATCATTACATGAAGTAACCTTTTGAATACAAGTGCGCTCATGCTCACAGGTGTACACACGGGTGCTCACACAAACAAACTAAACCTTTTTTGGCTCCTACCTCAAAACACACTGTGCGCTGTTGATCTTATGTGCTGCACAATAATATTCAATATTTAGTATTTACTGTTATATTCACATAGATTATTGTGATGATGTTGTTTATTATATTGCTCTCTTTTTTTGCTTGTTTTCTCTTTTTTCTTTCTCACCAGGTGATTGACATATGTATTTTTTGTCTCTTTTGTTTTGATTGTTTTGGTTTTATGCCCTTTATCACTGTTCCTCTTCCCCGCTGTTTTTCTTTCCCTCTTTCTTTCTCCCTTTTCTTTCTCCCAGTCATGTCTATCCCGTGTTTAGCAAGTGAAAATATATTGGTAAAGAAAACCCATTGGGCATCTTTCTTGGCCTTTAGACAATAATTCTGATGGCAAAAGAACCAAATGGGACAGGCGAAAAAAAAAAAAAAGAGTATCAGGAAGAAAGGTGACCGAACATGACGTGGTCGTTGATGTCAGATGGGCTGTATTTCCCACACTTTTTCATGTACTGGGTTTTTCCCACATAACCATCGCTAAGGGTTTATAGAGAGTCATCTGAAATGAGAAAATATCCAGTGAGCAGCAGTTATCTGGGTGAAAATACTTTGATGATGTCAAAGGTCAGAGGAGAAAGCCAGACTACTTTGAGCTAATAGGTTTGTTACAAAGAAGCTACAGAGAAGAACATCTCTGAAAGCAAAACAGACCAACAGACTAGGGCTGGGCCATATTATACCGTTCACGGCAATACCGGTATAATGTTAGGCAACGATAGGAAAATGAAATATCGCGATAGAATGAGTAAAACGCGAATGCGCAGTTTCTTTGTTTTCATACGCACATGGCCGATTGTTGAGTGAAACAGATGAACCAGAATTGGCTTGTAAAAATGGTGCAACTTCAGTGATGTGGAACTGCTTTGGTGTTTGTCCCTCAGATACACGACAAAGCACATTTTTTTGCAGAATATGCAAGCGGCTGTCGTTATTGTCGTATTTGTCGAACTAAGATGCTCTTAAATCTGGGAGTAATCTGGGTCCTAAACCCCCCTCTTCAGGTCAAACGAACACTGCAGCATCACTGAGAGTTAAAAACTGTCTAAATTCTTTCATGCTTTACCAGGTGTAACTATGAAGTTTAACTTCCAGGCATCCATGAAAACAAAAGTTATTACATTTAACGGAGTTAGAAGTTAGCAGGAAGCTAGCGGAAGTTAGCTCACTAGTTTCGCTAGTTACCTAAGCATGATATTGCATGTTCTGACTGAGAGATTTCTGAAAAAAATCAAACGTACAGCTCTGCTATCACTTCCAACATAAATGAAGACAGGAAACTAAACAGCAGTGACGTTTGTAGGGTTACTGAAGTTGGGCTAGCTGGTATATAATGATGTGCTACGTGATCGCTAGCGACACAGCTATGTTAGCATAACATAAACAGTGAAGCTGGAGGACGAACACTAACACTTTTCCACTTATAAAAGTTAACGTGAAGGTTCCTCATGGTTAGAGACTAATGCAATCGCATGGCAGGATGCTGTAAACGGACCAAACTTCAGTCAGGAGAACAACTGAGATAATCCATCCACAATACGAGGTTAGCCATTAATATACTGCAACAACATGGGAATAGAGCAGCTGCCAGAGAATTCAACATTAATGAATCAATGGTACAGAAGTGGAGGAAGCAAGAAGAATGAGTTTAATAAAGTTTGATTTCCTGACTGCTTTGTTTCGCTTAATGTGCCTTATAATCCTGTGCACCTTATGGTCCGAAAAATACGTACTGCACACTGCAGTTTAATGTTGCAAAGCACCTCTTTTTAACTTCAGTGGATATTATACATGGTTATGCTCAGGATATGTCAGCCCATTTCTACTGGAAAGGCCTTTTGGTTAAACTTTCAGCAAGGAATTTGCATTTGCACTGTTAAATTTTTATAAAGCTTTAATGTACATAAAAACCAGCTTCTTGTTTAAGTGAAAATAAATGGAAGGTTGTCTTTTTGCGCTAGTAATGTTGTGGAGTTGTATTTTGTCTCGCATCAATTATATCGTCAGTTATATCGTTATCGCAAATTTTCAAATATATATCGTGATAAATATTTTTGGCCATATCGCCCTGCTCTACAACAGACCTTGAAGCGGACAGGTTACAGTAGCAGAAGACCACACTGGAGGCTACACCTGTCAACTAAGAACAGGAAACAGAAGCTCCATTTCGCAGTAACTCATCAAAATAAGATAATACAAGATTGTAAAAACACTATCAGTCCATTACAGAACCTTTGTGATGTGGCTGAAGGGAACAGCTAACATATCTCTCACTCTCAGGTTACATTAGCTTAGTAAACCTGTACTTTTGACATAAATCTGAGTAATTTTAAGACTGATTTAGTGTTGAATATAGAGAACTAATTTCCTCATAACATTCAATTTTACTGTTGAAAGTAAAATACTCATTTGTTCTAAATCATTATGCAGATGCCACTTTTGTGTGTTTTATCTATACAGTCACCACAACGGCTGAAGTGACACACAGGCTAATTTAACCTGTTATTCTGTGAAAGGTTTTCACTGAGAACTTTAGAGGCGGTACGCCTAAGCAGCTTTGCATTCAACTGCATGCTGACCTCTCCTGTTTGATGAATGTCACTGAATATCACCGATGTCATAACCAGAAAATTCACTAGAGCACAGACGTCAAACTTATGGGCCACATACAGCCAGCTTCGATCTTAACTCAGCCGGTTTCTTTATGACAGTGTCAAGAGGTTTAACAAGGCATGACATTGTCAGGAAGGAACGTTTTCAAACCTGAGCTCATCATTAGAATAATCATAAAGTAAAAACAAGAATCAAAGACACAATGAAATTAAATTTCAACATAATAATGTAACAGTGATCAAAACAGGAATGAAATGCACAGATATTAGCAGCTAGCTGTGGTTAGGGAAATGTGCTTCTTAAATGAAGAAGACATGCTTACTAAATTATTATTTACTAATGAGCATAATGATGATGGCCACATTGGAACGCGGTGCTTTTAATTATATGTTAATTAGAATCTGCAATATTGATCATAGAGGATTTAATACATTGTATAAATATCTTTTATTCATTAGAAACTCTTTTGTTGCCAGGCATTGAAATAGAAAATATTGGACTCAACAGGCGAACTTAAGACATAAAGCTTATTTCTGAGTCATTTCAGAACAGATTTACTGGATGAAAGTAAAAGCGACTGTTGTTATTGTGTTTTACAGAGGTCTGCGAAGACACTTTGGTGTTTTCAGTAATAAGTCTACAGTATATCTATGTGGGACACAAATACACACATTCACACTCAATGAATCTTCTGTACAGTGTGACCTGTTTATTAATCCTCAGGGCTGGCATCACTCATTTCCACATCTGCATTGGGCTGGTGTTTGGAGCTCCAGGAGGTCTGCTTATGAGAGGGACTGGAATTGTTGTTTTTTTTCAGTCCCTGGAGCTACTGGCTGACAACCAGAAACTCATGGGATACAAACACACAAGTCCCACCATAGGAGCTCTGATGGGGTGGCAGGGCCAGTAGGGGTATGCAACAGGAAAGCTACAGATCAATATGGACAAGTTGCAGATAAGTATGGAGTATGTAGGAAGGTTGGGGGTGACAGTGGGGGCAGCTGCAGGAGGTTTTCTATCCTCGTGTACTCACAGCGGGCCGTCAGCAGTGTTCATGGGTCTGTGTGCAGCCATGGTTCCTGCTGCTGTTATCGTTTGTGCAAAGGCATGAAACATGCTTGTGGTGTTTGCATATAGTATTAGCTATACTGCTTTTAATATGGTTCTACTGCTCTTGCTCTTGTCATCATTCTCAAAGTTGGAGGAATTTTCATTTTAGCATTGATAACCTTAGCTACTAAAACTGAATTCTGTGTCCTTTGTAGTGCAAAGGAGGATTTACCACCTAACATTTTCAGCCTTTCTGTACTTCAGGAAGCAGAGGACAGAGTCAAGCAGAGAGGATTTTACTCAAAATGGTAAAGGAGGAGTCAGTCTTCTTGCTGTCAGGAAGGCCAGACATAGGAGCAGGAAGGTGAAAGCTCAAAAGCCGGCGTCTTGTATTTCAAGTCCCACAACTTCAGAGCCCTAGCTAACACAGTACTTCTCATCCATAATGGAATTAAGGTAAGGTTGGTCTACTGTCTGGCCCTCCTCCACCCCATCTCCTGCACTTAAGTAGAAGTACAGATACTTGTGTTAAAAAAATAATCCAGTAAAAGTACTGAGTCAACTTCTTTACTCAAGTTAAAGTGAAAAAATACAGTCTCTGAAATCAAAGTAAGAAAGTCCTTACTTCTACCATCCATCTACCATCTATTTTTATGCTCAAGTAACTCGACCTTCAGCGATATGAATATAAAACTAATATAATATTAGTACATGACAATACAAATGATCATCAAAGCTGTAAATTCTAGTTCTAAAGAACAAAGTGGGGGAACACTAGGATCTGTTGTAGTGGCTCAGCGTGGGGAAAATACTAATAGCTCACAATAATAATGGGCTGTGATCAGCTGACCTGCTGTTATTTGTGGATTTACACAAGTGAATTCAACAAAATGTAAGCAGATGTTTCACATCTGGGCTGAGTTCCAACATTTTTCTGTATATTGTCTTTATACCAGACAGTATGAAGTTGGTATGAACTTAAATATAAATGAATCTCTGCTACACTTGATGTAACCTTTCGCTGACCACCACAGTCACTGTGATTTCTCCACGTTAATGGTAAATGGACTGGTTCTTATACAGCGCTTTTCTACTCTGAGTACTCAAAGCGCTTCATACAACTTGCCTCATTCACACCAGTTCATTTTTCTGCATAAGTGCTTTCTATCTAACAGTCACACACATGTATATGTCATTCATACTCTGATGGACACATCGGAGAAAAACTTGGGATTAGTATCTTTCCCAAGGATATTTGGCATGCATACTACTTTCCACATCCTGCTCTACATTGTCACATTACATGTGTAAATCTGCAGTTTATTTCACTGATTACAACACACTGCACTCGTTCCGGCCCAATTTGACTCCTGAGTATGAACACAATCACTGCAGTACTTTCAGCTTTCTCTTTCATCTCTCTGTACCTCAGGAGTTTGATCCACAATGAAAAAACAGCGCACTCTAATGGCTTCAAGCTGGAATTTGAGCTCACTCAACAGACCAATGGACGTCAGATTCCTGTTATGCCTTGTGCCACAGCTGACTGTGATCTTGAGTGGGCTGAACTACTGACACAAGTGTCAGTTTTTCTGCTCTAGTAAATGAAAGAAATCTTTTTCAGCATAAAGTGCAGTAAATACATGTGTCAAGGTTCAGATACAGTGGGGCAAAAAAGTATTTAGTCAGCCACCGATTGTGCAAGTTCCCCCACTTAAAATGATGACAGAGGTCAGTAATTTGCACCAGAGGTACACTTCAACTGTGAGAGACAGAATGTGAAAAAAAATCCATGAACTCACATGGTAGGATTTGTAAAGAATTTATTCGTAAATTAGGGTGGAAAATAAGTATTTGGTCACCTCAAACAAGGAAAATCTCTGGCTCTCACAGACCTGTAACGTCTTCTGTAAGAAGCTTTTCTGTCCCCCACTCGTTACCTGTATGAATGGCACCTGTTTGAACTCATCATCTGTATAAAAGACACCTGTCCACAGCCTCAAACAGTCAGACTCCAAACTCCGCCATGGCCAAGACCAAAGAGCTTTCGAAGGACACCAGGAAAAGTATTGTAGACCTGCACCAGACTGGGAAGAGTGAATCTACAATAGGCAAGCAGCTTGGTGTGAAAAAAATCAACTGTGGGAGCAATCATCAGAAAATGGAAGACATACAAGACCACTGATAATCTCCCTCGATCTGGGGCTCCACGCAAGATCTCATCCCGTGGGGTCACAATGATCATGAGAACGGTGAGCAAAGATCCCAGAACCACACGGGGGGACCTGGTGAATGACCTGCAGAGAGCTGGGACCAAAGTAACAAAGGTCACCATCAGTAACACACTACAACGGCAGGGAATCAAATCCCGCAGTGCCAGACGTGTTCCGCTGCTGAAGCCAGTGCATGTCCAGGCCCGTCTGAAGTTTGCCAGAGAGCACATGGATGATACAGCAGAGGATTGGGAGAATGTCATGTGGTCAGATGAAACCAAAGTAGAACTTTTTGGTATAAACTCAACTCGTCGTGTTTGGAGGAAGAAGAATACTGAGTTGCATCCCAAGAACACCATACCTACTGTGAAGCATGGGGGTGGAAACATCATGCTATGGGGCTGTTTTTCTGCCAAGGGGACAGGACGACTGATCCGTGTTAAGGACAGAATGAATGGGGCCATGTATCGTGAGATTCTGAGCCAAAACCTCCTTCCATCAGTGAGAACTTTGAAGATGAAACGAGGCTGGGTCTTCCAACATGACAATGATCCAAAACACACCGCCCGGGCAACAAAGGAGTGGCTCCGTAAGAAGCATTTGAAAGTCCTGGAGTGGCCTAGCCAGTCTCCAGACCTCAACCCCATAGAAAATCTGTGGCGGGAGTTGAAAGTCCGTGTTGCTCTGCGACAGCCCCAAAACATCACTGCTCTCGAGAAGATCTGCAGGGGGAATGGGCCAAAATACCAGCTACTGTGTGTGCAAACCTGGTGGCTGACTAAATACTTTTTTGCCCCACTGTATATCATTACTCAAACTGTCTTATAATGAAAAAAGAGAGCTCTTTAATCACTGTAAAATCAGAAATTTCTATAGTTGTGAAATAACAGAAAGATCTCTATCATTTAAACATTTATTTATTGACTGTCTGTCCATGGTGTCACTGTGTCTGCTTGTGAGTCTGTCTGTTGAGTTCAGTGTCTTGTCTGGTTCTTTGTGTCTGTAAGTTTCCTGTTATATTCTGAAGGTCTTTGTCTCATGTGAGTGTGGTCAGTTTACGTTTCCCCTGTCTCGTCAGCTCTGATTTGGCCCAGGTGTGTTCCCCTCCTGTCTCCCATCCCTTGGTTACTGCTGTGTGTATTTAAGCCCTGTGTGTTCTCCTGCCTGTTGCTGGTTCGTCTGCGTTAATTCCCTGTGTCAACCTGTGTTCCTCCCTGCGTGTTTCTATGTTCCCGGGTCTCCAGTTAGCGCTTCAGGTTCGTTTTGTTAGTTTTCTACAGTTTAGGTTATGCTTATTTTCCTACACACCTCCGCCGTTTCTGTTTGTATCTCCACCTTCTCAATAAAACTCTCCTGCATCTCAGCTGCCAGCATCTTGGGTCCTAGTTAAATTCCACACAACTCACCCCACGAGCCATGATACCTCCTAAGGAATTGTTGACTGCATTAATTAAGTCCACTTTGATGTTTAATTGGCTAACTTAATCTGAAAATACCATCGCAGATTTGTTTGAACAATCTGTCTTCACGTCAATGATGGTGGTATAGAAAAGTCTTAGACATGCTCTTGGCAGACAGGGGAGGTGTGTGTTCAGTGTTTGCTATTATTTGCTCCACTTTTGTTCTGAAACACACAACTTCAGGAGACATTGATGGAGTACCGTTGAGGACCTGGAAAGTGAGGACGAGAATCAAGGAAGTTAGCATGATTATCCACTTGAATGCATTAAATCTTTCTGGCCAGTTGATCACCAAAAGGCAGATCACACGAAGCCCTGTTTAACAGCTCGTTTGGAAGTACTGTTAGTTTTTCAAAGAGCAGCAGGATTGTGGGGTCGCAAATTTTAAAGGCTTTGCAGAATTTCTATAGGCTGGAAAGATGTTGATTCAGGCTTTTGGAACACAATTGAAACCAAAACACAAAATCTACAGGAGATGAGTGAAGTGTGATGCCAACAGTTTTATTGAACATACAAGATTAACAAAGATTTAGAAGAAAGAAAAGCCCACTAGGGTGTTCGCCATAAGTACATGCAGGCCAAACACCAATCAAGATAAATAAAGATGAAGACTCCCGGGACTCTTCTGAGGTCCTTTTACAAAACAACAGCTGGGTATCAACAGGTGGTCACATAACAGTAGTGCAAGCTATGTTAAAAATATGAATAATGAATGACCTAAGTATATGGGTCACAAACAATACGAGAACTTGAATCAACCGCCTAACATTGTCATTCCCTAAAATATTCCCTTTCCATCTACAAAGCACTTCCCATTAATGTCAATCTAGTGTATAAATTCATTTAAAAAAAACAAAATTCCAACAGGAGTTCTGGCAGCGTGCAAGTTAGCGAACAGTGTACAGTTAGTAAACTGTTTCTGCTTTAAACACCTTCAAACTGTGAACTTCAGAGAAAAAACTGATTTCAATAAAGGCTACCGCATGTACACGGGTAGTTTTTTTAAACTGATATTTCCAAGTGTGATTCTGAGAAATAGTTCTTTTATGTCAAGACCCAAAAATATCTCAAGCACTGTTGAGGCCATGCCAAAGAAAATGAAGAAACTTCAGTAAAGACAAAGCCCATAAACAATAAAAAATGATGTCTGAAAATGTGATAAAGGTGCAAACATTTCATGTTGCGAGACAAACACTTTTTCTTGTCCATGTGTGAAAAAAGAAACTGAGCTTCTGAAAACCTTTTCAAAATGAAGTTTTTAAATGATCCAAACACTGTTTATGTGATCTGCCATCACCATTTTCTAAGAATGAAACTTAGCATGTAGGATGGTTTCCGAAATGCATTTTCAACTGTACTAAAGTAATACAGAATGTGGCTTCTCACCTGTGTGAATTCGCATGTGCATATTCAAGTGACTCTTCCTAGTAAATCTTTTCCCACAGGTGCTACAGCAATGTGGCTTCTCACCTGTGTGAATTTGCATGTGCATATTCAAGTGACTCTTCCTAGTAAATCTTTTCCAACAGGTGCTACAGCAATGTGGCTTCTCGCCTGTGTGAATTCGCATGTGCATATTCAAATGACCCTTCATAGTAAATCTTTTCCCACAGGTGCTAC